TTTTTTTTTTTTTTTAGTTCCTTATATATTCTAAACGTAGGTCCTTTGTCTTAGGAGCAGCTGGCAAAAATTTTTTGCCCAGACTATGGGTTATCTCTACTCTGTTGGTGGTTTCTTTTGCTGTACAAAAGCTTTTTACTAAGATGAGTTCCCAGTTTTTGATTCTTTGTGATATTTCCTGTGCGATCTGTGTTTTGTTCAAAGTCTTTGCTTACACCTATCTTCAAGAGCTCCACCTATTCTCTCTTCCAGCAGATTTAGTGCTTCTGTTTTAATATTTAGATCTTTGATCCACTGTGATTTTAGTTTAGAGCACGGTGAAAGATATGGGTCTGTTTTTAATCTTTAGCACGTGGAAAGCCAGTTTTTCCAGCACCATTTATTAAAGAGGCTAATATTCTTCCTTCTTTGCTTCATCCAGCAGCTGTTGCTGGATTGATTTTTCATGGTTCCTCACTATTTTTAAGAAATTTTTCTTTTCATGATCACTAGCTGCAATTCTGTCTTCTACATCTGATACTCTGTGCACACAGTGGCTCATTCCACTTCATACACTTTCAGTGGAATCTTCAGCGGGTGTCTGTTTGAATCTGCTTCATGGATTCCATTTCTCCTATGTTGGGCATTCATGGTTTTCATCATTTTCCTAAGCTCTTCTATTTTTTTTTTTTTTTAATCTAGATCTGCTCTAGAGTCACTATGTCTTTCATTCCTGTCACTATCTCTGTAGTCATCTGGGAAACTATTTCTGCTTTGATTTTTTTTTTCTTGCAGCCTTATTCATCTGCTTTGTTACTTCTGCTGTTACCACTTCAGAGTCGGGGGGTGGGAGTCTTAATTGTTCCATCGCATTGCCCCCTGGGTTTGCCTTTGGTGAGCTGGAAATTTTAGGTTACATCTTGCTCAAGTGTCCTCTCATTTTCTTTTCCTCTTCTTCTTCTTCTTCTTCTTCTTCTTCTTTTTTTTTTTGTTTGTTTGTTTAATGCCTGGGTTGATGTTGTAAATTACTTATGGCAGGTATCTTTATTGCTGGTATTTATAACCCTTCGGAAATGACTACTTCCCAGAAATGAATTCCAGGTATAGCTGGCTTTTGGGTTTTGAGTCTGTTGCGAGATTCTACCTCTTCAATTTATTGGGGATGAGAAGTTGCTGCCTATATTGGCCTAGCCCCTGGTTCTTTGGCACTGGGCTATAGTACTGATTATGACCCTTAGGCAATCTCGGTCTTGGCACACAAAGAAGAACAACCTATTAGAACAACTATGTCACCTTGGCTAGGGTAGTACAATCAACAACCATGATAGCATCAAATACAGGCAGCCACTGCAGTCCGTTGCATCCACTGCTCTGTTCTCCTCATGCGTTTCTCCATGGAGGCCTCTGGAGGCTAGCAGTCACAGTGTGTCTGCAGGTTCAAGTTGCCCTTCCCATGCTATGATTCAGGGATCAGGGAGAGAGGGCCACTTGCCACCTCCTTCTGCACTGAGGTCTCTCTCTTTGCTCTCTCCATGGGCTTCAATTCTTGCGTCAGATCTTTGCTGGGTCCTACGGACCCACTCACTTCCCTCCTCCTCTTCCTCACATTGCTATATTCCAGTTTCTGGACACCAAATCTTGGAGTGGCTGTTTCTATGCTGCTCACCACTCTGCCATCATCCCCAGAGTTCTAAAATTATACTTTTAAGAAAACTGCAGCCAGGCATATATGTAAACCAACACACTTTATTGTGGTTAAACTTTAACTACAAAAAAGCAGCATATCATCTTAATTTTTTGTTTGCTTTTGTACTGGGGATAGAACTTGGGTTCTTGTGCTTGCAAGGCAGGCGGCAGAACCACTGAGATAAATCCCCAGCCCTATATCATTTTATTAATTCCCTTGTCTTTGGTACTATGTGTTCCTTTCCAAGCCATTTTCAGGGAAATTTAGCCATAGGTCATGGTCTCTGACCCCATCCTTAGAAAACGCTGCCATGGAGGACACTTTCCCTACACAAGAAGCAAAAGAAAATGAGGAGCATGAGTTCAGACACTGCGTCACTAACTGGGAGCTGTGAAGGTGGCCAGGCGTGGATGTAACAGGGACGACCAGAGGAGCAGGCAGGCAGAATCAGACAGGGAAAGCCTTGGGACCCACAGCCCTCTCCCTGACTGTATGGTGGCCAGCAGGTCTAAATCTCTAATCTTGTCCCTTGTAGACATTCTTTATCAAACTTTTTGGCCCTTGCGATTGTGAGACAGGCAGTGGAATCACTGAGCCAAATCCCCGGCTCCTGTCAACTATTTTTCTAAGTGCACCACATTTGACCTTGATAGTCAAAATTCTAGAATTCTGTCTAAATTAAAACACATTTTTTTCCCTGAAATGGCTCTGAATAGTGGTCAGCCTGCTTCACTGCCCTTGATTTAGCTGCCCCAGGATTTGGGCTCCTTCTTTGGCTAAAGCGGAAAGACACAATCACTCTCTGGGAGCAGAATCGGCTTGTTAATGCAGCACAGTCATACACTGGGCTGCTATTCCTCCAGGCTGATACTTTCCTAAAGCCAGACTGAGGCGATAAACTAATTACTTCTCCTGCTCCTCCAGGCTGCTCTCCTAAGCAAAATGAATCATGCATTGGTGACCAATCAGCCGTAGAGAGCCCCCAGCAGCAGCTGCAGCCAAGCCACTTCTAGAAGCTGAAAAGGCTACCACCTATAGAACAGGGCCTACGTGGGTCTAAATCTGGCAAAGGTTGGGAATGCTGCTGTTTGTTTTGTTTTTGTTCCATAGTACTGGGGATTGAGCCAAGGCTACTACTAAATTACATCCCCAGTCCATTTTTAAATTCTTACTTTGAGAGAGTCTTGTGACATTGCCCAGGCTGGACTCAAACTAGCAATTCTGCTATTCTGCTGGATTTTGAGTAGATGAGCAGCCTGTGATGTTGTTTAGGGTAGGCTGCATTAAGATTAAGGGAGGCTGCCAGTGTGGTGGAGTATGGCTATAATTCCAGCTATTCAGGAGACAAGCCTAGGCAATTTAGTGAGACCCTGCCTCAAAATAAAAAGGGGCAGGAGTAGAGCTCTGCAAAACAAACAAAATCAGTAAGGAAAGTTTGAAAAGCAGGAAGGCATTTTCCTCATTGGCTTGGAACCTCCTAACAGTCCTTGCTTCCTGCCTGGTTCACTCCTCAGCAAGTTCTAGGCGACCTACTTCCGGGAGTGCAGAGAAGAGCTGGGAAATGTCAGCAACAACACACTCAGAGGAAAAGGGATTGCCCTTTCCTGAGAGACTGCCATGGTTTTTCATGATGCCATCCATTCATCATTGTGAGCTGACCGGCCAACCCAGGCTTGGCCAGCTGCTCAAGATCGGAAGGGGAGAGAGACCCCAGGACAAATGTGTAAAAGGCCCCTGAGCACGAGCAGACATGTTGACATCAATTCCACATAGAAAGACTTGGAAATCAAAGAAGACAGTAAAAGCCACAAAGTCTTATCCAACCTTCCCTTCCCTGAATGCCTGGGAAGAATTCAGGGGCCTCCTGCCTGTGGATGCGGAACCAAACTCCGGAGTGGGTCTAGGTGTGGAGAAGGGACTGCTCTGCCAGATGGTTCATTCTCCAGAATTCAACCTATTTCCTGACTCAGTGGTGTTTGAAAGCAACTTTGTCCAGGTACTCCTGGGTAGCTCAGAGCAGCATTCCTCGCTTCTCTAAACCTGTTCCTAAGACGTGACTGGGAGAATTTCCGGGACAGGGGTTGAGTGAGAACTGAGGTGAGAATGGAGGGGGCTGAAATCCAAGACCACCCACACTGACCAGGGCTTTGCAGAGCCCTGTTGTCATGGGGGAGAGAAGTCAGGCACCACTGCTGAGTGGAGGCCATGGTATCTGAGTCCCCTGTTTACTGCACCTTCCAGGGTATCACCCAAAGCCAGATGATCAAGGAGGAAGTGAAAGGAGATGGTTTGTGAGGATTAGGAGTAGAAATGCTAATCAGAGAAAGACAGGAGCAGGGCCAAAGAGATCCGGGCTCAGATTCCAGGCCTCTGCTTTCTCGTGGGCAGTGTCATTGTGCTGAACCCATTTCCTCGTGTTAAGGGAGTTGAATTGGTTTGGGGATTAAATGAAAATACAGCAAAGAGAATACCTTGTCTCTCAGGCGCTTGGTGCAGTGTTGTCTGCTTGCCCTGGGCTCCTCCTGGCCAGACAGAATCTAGAATAAATGGAGCGGTGGAGTTGGGAAGGCTCTTCTTGTTCAGTGAAAATGCAGAAGATAACAGGGCTCCTCAAAGAAGAGCTGAACGGACACATTTTGAAAAAGCCAGGAAACAGTTCAGGGAGAATTCACAAACCTGTAATAGTTGCCAGGGAACTCCTGAGTTACAGTTCTTGTGGACAACTGTTAATGGTAGATTATCTAAATACTACGATAGTTTTTTTTTTTTTTTAATCACTAAAGGTTAAAACCCTTGTTCTCAATAAGCAGCAAGAACACTTGTTCTCAAAAAGCAGCATCCCCCTTCCAGGGACACTGACGATACCTGGGGACATTTCTGGTTGTCACAGTTTGAGTCAGGGTTGCTATTAGCATCTAGAGAGTAGAAGCCAAGGATGCTGCTAAAATTTCTACAAATGCACAGTACAGCCTCCCTCTCCAACAAAGAGGTGAGAAACCCCAAGCTAAAACTTGCCACTGCTCCTGCCCCATGCTCAGGCTATGCCTGGGGTGGGTGCTGTGTTGCAGGTCAAGAGGGGCAGAAACTGGATAAAGATCTACAAAGCCTCCAACACCATGGCCCTTGGGGTGACCTCCTCCGTGCCCTGCCTACCCCTTCCCAACATCCTCCTCATGGCCAGAGTCAGATGGCATCAGGGGCAGAGCCAGACATGGAAGAGACCAGCTATAGCTCCAAACATCATCCTGAAGAGGTAAGCACTGCAGGTGAGAATGAGGCACAAGAGATGGGGTGGGGAGACCCCAAAGTGACTCAACTGGTTGATGACTAAGCTCATGGCAGGGAGAAAGTGAAGAAGACACTGGCAGTGACATTAATTTTTATAGACAGCAGTAATCCAAGCCAGGCAGTGCACTGGCAGGGCAAAGGCCACATGTCACGAAGGGAGGCATTCTGTGGACAGGATGAGGGGCCTACCTCCAAGTCCATTTCCCTTTTGCTGTGATCCCCCCACTGGATTCACAGGAACCTCGTCCTTTGGCTAAGGGGCAGGGAGGCAGGGAGGTCTGGCAGATGGAGCACTGGCTGGGAGAGACAGGTTCTTTCTAGTCCTTGCTGTGTAAGTAACTAGACTCAAATAATTTTTGAGTCACAAGTCATTTGCTGTATCTCAGTTTCCCCCTCTATAAAATGAATGGGACAATGTCCCACTTAGAGGTGACATGTTTTTCTGGGATAAAACAGCCCCTCTGGATGTTTCAGTGTCTTTCAACAGTCTGTAGCGTGTCTCGTGAATCTCTAGATATTCCCGATGTCCAGGAAAATCCTTCATTTCTCCATGCTGCCACCTGACAGACCTCTCCTTGCTGTTCTTGGTGTACCTACAGCAAGTACAGCCCAGTTCTGTCTTTCTAGTTAGATCCAAAGCCAGCTCCTTGAACTTTGGCTCCTTTAAGAAGAGTTCTAGAGGCACTAAAGTCAATAAATGGATAAACTGGATGGGTGGGCCAGGTCTCTCTGTGCATCCAGAAGGAAATGGCAAAGCCTCATGACTCCAGCTACCTCACTCCTAGGCTGTCTCTCTCAAGGAGGGTCCAGTGAACAGCAGTGTGACAGTCCTGGCAGGGAGGAGCACAGACAAAAATTCAGATTCCAGGGTCACATTGCAGACCTAGTGAGTCTGAATCTTTGGAGATGTCTTTGGGCACCTGCATTTTAAGCTTCCCAGGGGTATCTGTTCTCACCATGCTAAGAACTCTCTCCTACCCCTAAAAGGCTTGTCCTCAAGGAGACATCCGTTGTTTTAATGAAGATAATGTGGCATCAGTAGCAACAGGGCTGTCAATGTGTCTCCCTCTTGCCTTCAGGATTCTCCCATTGAAGTTTGTGGAGCTCCAGGTCTGTGACCACCTCCAACGTATCCTGCGGTTGAGGACAGTCACTGAGAAGATCTACTTCCTAAAGCTCCACCCAGACCACCCTCAGACTGTCTTCCACTTCTGGATCAGACTGGTGCAAATTCTGAAGGAGGGCCTATCCATCACCACCAAGGATCCTAGGATTCTTGTCACCCACTGCCTGGTACCCAAGAACAACTGCAGCTTGTCTGAAGACTCTAAGGTAAAGGAACATCACTACTGGCCTTGAGCTAAGGCCAGAGCTAAGAAGTAGGCCTGAGACAGCTGGTGAGTGTGCACCCCAGGAAGAAGAGCTCAGCTTAAGGCCTTTTTCCAGAAAGCTTTGTTGAAGTATTATTTATGAGCTTAAAAATCCTATGTAAGTGTACAGTTTGACACCACCAGTGAATGTGTACAGTTGTGCAACCACCAACCAACCACTGCGACAATCCAGTTTTGGACCATCTCTATTGCCCTGAAGAATTCCCTTTCCATATTGGCAGTCAGTCACTCCCTATTCCTATTCCTAGCTCTAGGCAACCATTATTTTTCTTAGGCATTTCATATAAATGAAACCTTACCCTGGAGCAATGTAATCCCAACACTTGTGAGGCTGAGGCAAAAGAGTCACTGCAAGCCAGGGCCAGCCTGAACTACGTAGCGAGACCCTGTCTCCAAAAAGAAAAACAAAAACAAAAAACCCTTACAGTACGTAGTCTCTTGTGTGTGGATTTCAAGAAGTAAAATGCTTTTGAGGTTCATTCATGATTGCATGGGACCACCTCTGGGGCAGAGTCACAGACTGTCAGTAGATCATTCCTTGTGATTGTGCAATAGAATTATGCCACCACAGCAGTAATATATTACATTTTCTTTAGCAGATGGACATTTGAGTTGATCCAGGAGGGCTATAATGAATAAAGCTGTTATGAACAATAGAGGTTGTGGTCTCCAGTACCAAACAAAACCAAACAAAACCAAACACAACAAAACAAAACAAAACAATAAAGGTTGTGATATAGTCTTCCTTTCCTTTGTCTTGGCTAGATTTCAAGGAGTGGTAGTACTGGCTTATGTGGAAAGCTAACTATTAAAGAAACTAGCAAACTGTTTTCTTAGAATGGCCATTTCATGTTCCCACCAATAACACATAAAGGTTTCTGTTTCTCCACGTTCTTTCTAACACTAATAACCGTCTATCTTTTATGTTATACTGGTTTTAGTGCATGTGTGGCGGTTTTACTTTGGATTTCTGTAATGATAATGATGTTGAGCATTTTCCTGGACTTTTTATTTATGTATCGTCTTTGGTGAAATGTGCATTCAAATCTTTTAACCAGTTTTAAGCAAAGTTCTGTCTTCTGCTTGAGTTGCAAGAGTTCTTTGAATATTCCGAGTACAAGTATGTAATAGACATAAAATATGAAAATGTTTTCTCTCAGTTTGTGAATTTTCATCTTCTTAATGATATTTTTAAATTTTTTGTTAGCATATATTTGCAGTATGTAATGTTTACATTCCTTGTGGTTGGTACATACTCATAACACATCTTAACTCCTTTTAACATTCCCTTTCCCTCCTTTCTCTTCTCCCTCTGCGGCTCTCTGTGGGGACCCCGTCCCGCGGGGAATAGGAGGTGAGAGCCGCCTCTTATTCGTGGGTCATCAGAGGCCGATCCGATCTTGAATGTCTGTGGAGGAAATCTTTAAGAAGTTAGAGTACACGGCCCAAGTCTGGTTTCTGATCAAAGGCGCTTTATTGGCTCAGCAAAACGATTATATACTGTTATCCCAGGGGGAAGGTTCAGCAAGCTTATTGGACAGTTCAAACAAATCCTCTACCAATCACATGAGTCACTCAAGCATTTAACCATACAGCAATCAGTATTTTACCAAATGTGGGGAGGGGTAAGTGGGAAGGCATACATCAATAGTTAACCCTATGCGATCTTTAACTTCACAATCTCTAGGGGCAAGCAGGACAAGGAAATACCACCGGCCTCCTGCTCCAGATCCCGTGACCCTGTGGTTAGCACAAAGGGCTATTTTTTCTGTAAGATTTCCTGTTTGCCCAGGGGCTAGACCTGCCATAAGTCACGTATGTAGTCTAGTGGGATTTTTCCACCGAGGCAAAGGCTAAGGTTGAGGGCAGTCATCTTATGCAGGCCCAAGCAGTCTCTCACATCCCTCCATCTTTTTTTTTTTTTCTTTCTTTCTTTTAGGCAGGGTTCTCACTATGTAGTTCAGGGTGGCTTTGAACTCACTGTGTAGCTCAGGCTGGCCTCAAACTTGTAGCCATTCTCCTGCCTCAGCCTCCTGAGTGCTGGGATTACAGGCTGGGTTTGTACCACTGTGCCTAGCCTTCTCCCTCTATCTCCTGATCCCTTTTCCACTTGAAAAAGATCTATCTCCCTACTTCCTATGATTTATCTTTTATTTTGCTCTTTATTTATACTTTATAATTATAAATTTATTTATAATTTGGGTTTCTCATATAAGAAAAACCATATGATATTTAAGCCTCTGTGTCTGATTTATTTCACTTAATATTATGGTCTCGAGGTGCATCTATTTTCCCACAAATAATTTAAGTTTATCTTTCTTTGCGGCGGAGTAGTACTCTATCGTATATATATCACATTTTCTTTATCCATTCATCTGTTGATGGACATATAGGACCCTTCCAAGATTTAGCTATCATGAGTTGTGCTGCTATAAACACGGGTGTGCATGTCTCACTGTAATATGTCTTTAACTCAGTGATGTTTTTCAAGGAGCAAAAGTTTTTAATTCTGACAAAGTGCATTTGTCAAATTTTTCTTTTATGGCTCCGGCTTTTGGCACTATATCTAGTAACTCTTTGTTCAACCCAGAATCACAAAGTTTATCTTGTTTTCTCCCAGAAGTTTCATAGATTTACTCCTGCATTGCTGTCTACAGTTCAAGTTGAATTAGTCTTTGTGTATGGTAGAGGTGAAAGACTACTTTCATTTATTTGCTGTTTTTCTTTCTCTTCTTTAGCATGAGGACATGCAATTATTCCAGCACCATTTATTGAAAAGACTCTGCCCTCCTATTTGAATTGTTTTGACATCTTTGTTGAAAAATCACTTGACCATACATATAAGGCTTTATTTCTGGAGTATCCCTTCTGTCCCATTGAGCTATTTATTTATTTGTATGCCATTGCCAAAGAGAATTAATTGATGAAGTTTCACAGTAAGTTTTGGATAATATGAGTCTTCTGATTTTGTTCTTTCTCAGATTATTTTGGCTATTCTAGATCTTTTGCATTTCCATATAAATTTTAGGGTCAGTTTATCAATATTTTTATTTTTTTAATAGCAAAACATTTATTGGTATCTTTTAGGCATATATAATAGAACTCATCATAGGAAATTTGCACCTGTACATCTCCCCTTAGTTTATCAGTTACTGCAAAAGAAAAAAAGATGCTAGAATTCTGATGAGCATATGTTGAATTTATACATCAGTTTGGGAAGAGATGCCATCTTGACAATACTGAGTCTCCCAATATATGCATATAGAATATCTCTCAATTTATGAGAATGTGATAAAAAATACAGTGAATGTTTTAATTTTTTTTTTTGAGAAAAGAGTCTCACTGTATATAGTCCAGGCTGCCCTTGAACTCACTATGGACCCCAGTTTGGCCTCGAATTCACAATGATCCTCCTGCCTCAGCTTCTTGAGTGCTGGGATTACAGGCGTGTGTCACCATGCCAGGCTAACGATTTATTAGAGTAAAACACACATCACCATTAAGCCCCCCTCAATGCTGCCCCTTTCTTTGAACACACTTATGTCATTGTTCTTGTCACTTTTGCTTCAGTTCTGTAATTCTTCTTCCATGTCTTTAGTTTTACTGTTTTGAAATCCTGAATTAATTTTTAAAAGTTTACTTTTCATGGTCATTTTAACATTGGGGAAGATCCAGAATTTGCATGATACCAAATTTGGTGAATAAAATGAATGAGGATGCATTATGATGTTTTTACAGGCCTGCCTTTCAATTGGACGGCACTTGGCAGCAGCACTCACCATATATATATGGTATATACATATACATATATGTCAATCACATATGTATGGTGTGTGTGTGTGTGTGTGTATATATATATATATATACACATATATATATATCACATCTTGTAAAGACACTAAATTAAAGACTAATTTTTTCAAGAACTGCTTCAGAAAAAGGCAAGAATGAAGGGAAAGTGTGCTTGAAGCAAAGGAAAGTATTTTGAGGGGGATTAATGCCAATGTACATTTTACTGCAATCATTTATAAAATTTAAGCATGCACGGGGCTAGGGACTTAGCTCAATGGTGCCATGCCTGTCTTACAAGGGCAAAGTCCTGTGTTGGATCCCTGGTACCCAAAAAGCTGTATTTTTTTAAATCTCCTCTTGTATTTTGACCTTTTAAAATTTTTCTTAGCAATATTTTGTGGTTTTCAGTAAATGAAGTTCTATATTTTTTTCTTAAATGTATCTCTAAGTATTTTATTTTTGTCGATGTGATTGTAAGTAGAATTGTGCTTTCTTAACTTCATTTTTGGATCAGTCATCAATAGTATACAGAGATAAGATTGATTTTGAGTCTTAATCTTGTACATTTGTTACAGTAGTTTTGTGGATTACTTGGGAAGATGGATATAATCATTGTCGTCTGCCAGTATAGATAATTTTACTTCTTTATCTCCAGTCTGAATGGATTTATTTCTTCATTGCTTCTTTGCATTTGCAAAGTCAGAGGGAAAAGCAGACATGTTCACCTTGTTCCTGATCTTAGAATAAACGTGCTTAGTCTTTCATCATTTTTATCATGATGCTAATTATGGAATTTTTGTGGACGCTCTTTCTCAAGTTATGAAAGTTCCTTTCATTCTTTCTTTATTGGGAGTTTTCATCACAAGTGATTATTGGGTTTTATTAAATGCTTTTCTGCAGCTATGAAGATGATCGTGTAATCGATCCTTTATTCTGATATAGTCTATTACATTAATTGATTTTCTATACTAAGCCAAACTTATATTCTTACAATAAATTCCATTTGAGCACTCGGGAGGCTGAGGCAGAAGGATCACTGAGTTCAAGACCAGCCTGGGCTACATAGTGAGTTCCAGGTCAGTCTCAACTACACAGTGAGACCCTGTCTCAAACAAAACAAAAATAAATAAATAAATAAATTCCATTTGTTTTTGGTCTATATAATCCTTTTTCTGTGTTATTGGATTCAGTTTGCTACCATTTTGTAGATGAGTTTTGCGTCCGTATTTGTGAGAGATATTGGTCTATAGTTTTCTTGCGATATCTTTGTGAAACTCTGGCATTGGTATCAAGTTAATTCTAGGTTCATTGTGTGAGTCAGGAACTGCACCCCACCCAGTTTCCTGATTTCTTTTCTTTTCTTTTTTGATTTTTGAGACAGGGTCTCACTATGTAGTTGAGACTGACCTGGAACTCACTATGTAGCTCAGGCTGGTCTCCAACTCACAGTGATCCTCCTGCCTCAGCCTCCCAAGTGCTGGGATTACAGGTGGGTCCCACCACACCCGGCCTCCTAATTTATTTTCTGAATGAGTTTTTGAAGGACTATTATTACTTCTTTAAAGTTTTGATAGATTTCACCAGTGAAGCCACCTGGAATGTTTGCCTTTGGCCTCTGAGCACAAAGAATGTGAGTCTGACTTGAGCCACAACACCAATTCCATAAAGGCAGATTTTTCTGTCTTCCTCAGTGCCCCACTGCCTAGTGCAAAGTTGAATAAATACTGAGTGAATGACTAATTGACAAATGAATGAATGAGTACGGCCAGCATACACAACTGGAGCGCCTTGGGTATCACACAGGCAGCAGGAAAGAAATTAACTTTACCCAGCTATAAAAAGCAGCTCCCTACAGGATTTTTCTTAGAGAAATTAATTTTAAAAGCACTCGCTAAATTCTCTAAATAAATATACGATGTTCTTACTTTGAAGTACAAAACCAAGTATCTTTATTAAAGTGTACATGAATAGGCTATATAATAAACCATGTTAAGGTATTCTAATAGGAATAGGTTATCTACTAAATTGTGTTAAAAGTAGTCCATGAGGTTATTACCCTTGGGGCAGCAAAGGATACTTATAACAGTACATGGGTATAAACAAATAGGGTCTCAGAGTTCCTCCACAGCAGGTGGTGTGCCTGCCCAGTGGGAGAGTTTGAGGTAAAATTAATTACTTTCCTGTTGCCTGTGTAATATGCAAAAGTGTGGGTCATGACATTAAGAAAATGTAGAGATCCACTTGTTTGTTTGTTCTCCATATGGTCAGTAGAGAAGAAACTCCAAGCCTCCCAACGCAGCGAGAGCCTCATGCAGCTGATGGCCAAGGGGGAGAGTGAGGCCCTCTCTCAGATCTTTGACGACCTGCACCAGCAGAAACGCTTCAGGTACATGGCTCAAGCCTCTGACGTCCCTTCCTACAGCCCAGATGGTCTGGTCAGGAGACCCAGAAACTAAGTCCTTTATTTAAGGAGCACAGGGAGGGGCATGAAATACCTCCACACAGTGCCCAGTCTTTATCCTCAACTTGGGGCGGCTCTTCTCTGGCCTCTTTGCCTTGGCTTCCACCACGCAGCAAGCATGGCAGGCTTGACTCCAGAGAAGGAATCGTATCAAAAATGAAGAGTAACTCTTCAACAGTGAGAATGAGTGAGAAATACAGGTAGAAAAAAATAGAACCTAATTTATAGTCCAGTTCTTAGTCCTATAGAGAAATAATCAAAACATTGTTTAAAACCCTGACTACCTTTTAGATTTACCTATCTACTGGACCTCCACTGGGACTTTGTGGAGTGTTGGTTTTCCATGTAGTCCGTCCTAGGTGACACCAGGGTACAGTCCTGTTTCCTCCATGTCTGAGGAAATGTGCCTTGATGTGCAGTCCTTAGTACTGAGTCTTTTTTTTTTTCCTCATTAAGTTTATTGGTACATTTTAGGTCTATAGTACAGTTACATTCATCATTGGGATCTTGTACCTTTACATGACAGGTCTTGGTTCTCATTTTAGTACTGAGTCTTAAGACTGTTTGATATAAGGGGGACAGGATTTGAGAGAATTAGACCAAAGGGCACCATGAACAGAGAGCAAAGGTAAAGTGAGGTCCAGGGTCCTGATCATGTCATTTGTAGTGTAAAAGAACAGAAATAGATCAGCAAGAGAAAAACGAGATGCCAGAGAGAAGAGATTTTTGTCACAACAGGAATCATTTATACCAGCAAATCTTGTGGCAAAACAAGTCTCCATTTTTTCTTTTCTTTTTTTTTCTTTTTTCTTTTTTTCTTTTTTTTTTTTTTTTTTTGTAATCACTATATAGTTCAGGCTGGCCTTGGACCCGGGCTGCCTTCAAACTCATGGTGATTGATCCTCCTGCCTCAGTCTCCCAAGGGCTGGGATTGCAGCTGTGTACTGCTATACCTAGCTTCACCTTTCTCACTGTGTGGTGGTAGTAAATTTAAAACAAGTATTTAGGGGAGGCAATCTGTCATGCTGGTGAAGAGCACACATAGGGCCCATATCACTGACTACACCCCTGAGCCATTGCTTAACTTTTCTGGGTCTCAGTTTTCACATCTGTAAATCAGATCCCAGATACTGCTAAGATTAAATGAACTCATATGGATCAAGGCTTCAGCCTGCTGCTCAGCAGACTTAGAGGTAGACATATGTAAGATCTAAATAAATATTAACTTGTCTCATGACTCTTTTAAAATGTTTTTATTAGTGCATGTTTGCAGTACATAATGATTACATATAACACATTTTAATTCTTTTTCCAGTCCCTTACACTCCTCTGCCACCCGCCTCCCTCCACCCTTGATCCCCTTCCACCTGAGAAATGTCTCTCTCCCTACTTCCTATTATCTATCTTTTATTTTGCTCTTCATTTATGTCTTGGGTTTCTTATATAAGAGGAACCATGTGGCACTAAGCATGTGTGAATTGTCTCATTCATCGAGATAGAGAGAGGTAGAAAAGTATGAACCCAAGATGAAGACTTAGCTGCCCAGTGGTAAAGAATATATCACTCTTTACATTATACTGTAATTAGGAAACTTCTGGGCAAGATGTCACATTACTGAGCTAGAGAATTCTGGATTCTAATAGACCAACATCATTTGGAGAAACTTTTTGAGTGACTCCGTTATTAAACACTGACTGTTAAGTCACTAAATTGCCCTGGTTGGGCTCAAACTTTTGGTCCTTCTGCCTCACCCTCCCAAATCACTGAGATTACAGGTGTGTGCCACCATGCCCAGCCTAAGCTTCTGATTTTTAAATTATTATTCAAAGGACACCTTATGCTCATTGGCTACAACTCAGTTCCATAGCCATGCCCAGCTGCAAGGGAGGCTGGGCAATACAATCTCATTTCTTTGCAGCCAGAGGCCCAAATAATATTAGGTTCTTGGCTCCAGAGGGAGAAGGGAACAAGGGTTACTGGGGGCCTCCTGGCTATCACGGGTGCAGACAGCTTCTAGTAATTCCAGAAGCCCCCTGTTGGTACCACAAAAATTTTCCAGGAGGTTAACAACTGAAGGATAAATAATAGCCAGAGAAAGAGTGGAGAAGTAGCTGGGCATGGTGGCACATGCCCGTAATCCGAGCACTCAGGAGGCTGAGGCAGGAGGATTGCCATGAGTTTGAGGGTAAGTTCAAGGCCAGCCTGAACAGCATAGCATGACCCTGTCTAAAAAAAAAAAAAAAAAAAAAAAAAAAAAAAAAAGAGTAGAGAAGTGTCAGGCAGGTCAAAGGAACAAATGGGTTCACAGATGAAACCTTGCCCAGCGGGAGAAGCTTAGTGAGTTTAGAGAAAGGGCAGGAAGACCAGTAGGGGAGAGCAAGTGGTAGCCAAAGTGAATAAGTAGAAGTGGATAGGGCTTGGGAAGCCCCGCAAAGGAATTTCAAGCTACATGTAATGTGAGTCTGAGCAGCATTTTAAACAGTGATGTGATTCAATTTACATTTTGAAAAGGTCATGCTGGCTGCTGCGTGCCAGTTGATTTGAAGGGAGGGAAAAGGGCTTGGCAGAGACCAGCCAGGAATGTATGGCTACCTAGTGTGGCCTGGCATGTATACGACAGGCCAGAGGGGTACATGAAAAGGAGGGTTCATTCTGGCTTCACTGTTATCTCAGTAATTGTTTTGTGCAGACATTCAGCTCCTTCTCTTCTGTTCCCAGAAGAAAGCCTGAGTGATGGTCTTTCTCCTCATTCTGGCAGGTCCTCGTCTGGTGGCAATTATTATCAGTCTTTGCCCACTGGCAACAACATGCAATTAAGCAGTAAATAAATTAAATGGCTGAGAGCCAGGACAGAACAGATGCAGTCACACCCTGCCCCTCCTCAGCAAAATCAGCAGCACAGGCTCTGCTCCCCACCTTCCCCATCCCACCTCCCACCTCCCTCTTTTCTTCTGGAAATTTAATATGCATCACACACGCCCAACACAGCCACAGCTGGCCCTTTTCAAGTTTATATCTGTCTCTAAAGCTTCTGCAACGGGAAAAATCTAACTAGAAATAAGGTTTGAAATACAAGTTTAATGCTCAATTCCTTTACTTTTGACCTTCATTCTCTTGATCCGGAAATGTCTGGAATTCCAGGAGCAACAAAAAGATGAAGATGAACAAGGCCTGCTCAGGTAACGGAGGGTGCAGGGCACACAGCCTCATGGAGCTGTCTACACCGCAGCCCTCAGTCCTCAATCCCGTGGGACCTTCCTAGTGCCATTAGGATTGCTAGCATCTCTTAGTCATGGCTTGAATGCCTCTGGGCTCTTCGACTAGTGGACACCAAACCCTACGATTTCTTTTTTTGTTTGTTTTTTGGTAGCAAGGATCAAATCAAACTCAGGACCTTGCACTTGTGAAGCAGGCAGCAGCACCTCTGAGTTAAATCCCTTGCCTGTGCCAATTTTTTTCTTTGAAATCTGTGGCTGCCTGTCTGTCCGCACCCCTCCCCCTCACTATGCATGCTCCCACACACATATATATATACTGTACTACTGAGCTACACTCCCAGCTATTTTTTTTTAAATTTTGAGACAGGGTCTCACTGTATTGCCAAGGCCAGTATCAAATGTACAATTCTCCTGCCTCAGTCTCCTGGGTAGCTGTGATTACAGGCATGTGCCACTCCCCCGGCTGTTTGTTTTTATATATCT